GGACTCGGGCCCCGCCGCGGTGCCTGGGCCAGGGCGGAGGCGCTGGCACAGCCGGGCGCTCGTGGCGGCCATGYGGGTGCCGAAGCTGCTCCCGGCCGCCGCATGGGACGCGTTGGTTCCGCAGGCGTGAGATCCCGCGAGCCCGAGCGCCTGCAGAACCCCAGRGCGGGAGCAGATCCAAGGGGAGCAGGCGGATGGTCCCTGCGGAGGGGGCGCCTGGCCCAGCCCYGAGGACGGCGGCCGCCTCCCCCTGCCCGTGGTGCGGGACGGGCCGAGYGGGGCGGCTCCGCTGGGACCGGATCCTGCCCTGACACCAGGCAGCGCCGCCGTGGCCGCGCCGGGGGCGTCAGGCGTGCCCAGGTGAGCGGGATGAGGTCAGAGCTGCCGCCTGGCGTGTCCCGCTCCGCAGGCAGCCGCGGCGGGAGCAGCTTCCGGAGCTTCCTGGCAGCACCGGCAGAGCCGGCGCTGTGTGAATGGGCAGCGCTTGGGAGGGAGGGCGGGAGCTGCTCCCTGCAAGAGAGGAGCCCGTCCTGGCCGGGAGCRGGGCCACCGCGGCTGCGTCCCCCTCGTGTCCCCTGACCGCCTTGGCCCGAGACCTGGAGGGATTCCGGCCTTGGCGGGACCCAGTCCCGGCACTGGGTTTGGGCCCTRTTTCCAGCTCCTGTGGGGTCCAGAGCGGCCTGAGCTGATCCCGGGAAGGCACCGYCAAGGAGAGCTGAGGGCTGGGCTGTTGGCTCCTCCCGAGGCCCTGGGTCTGGAGCTGCCATCCGGCGGGCTGGGGACACTGCGCTGAGCGGCTCGAAACTCTGGCCCTTGCACAGGGGCAGCGCTGGGAGCACTAGGCTGGGGAGCAACTGCACTGCAGCCAGATGGCTCCGAGGGCAGAGGCCCCAGGAGGCTGGAAGCCGCCACAAGTAGTTCCCATGGGTGAGGATGCAGGGCCGTGTCAGGGCCCGTGGCCCTGATCCCCAAACACTGCTCCCAGAGGAGGCGGAAACCATCCCATCCTGCAGGATCGCACCGAAGGATCGGGATCAGGAGGAGGCGGCGCGGAAGGTGCCAGGGACGTGTCCCAGGGACGTGTCCCCACCTCGCTGTGCAGCCCAAGGCGTGAGAGCCGCCCTGGCCTCTGCGTGGCACAGGGATGGCGCCTCTGGAAGCGGCTCCGCACAGAGGTGGGGGACAGCGCGGACACCCACCCGGGGGGGTGTGCCCCTGTGCCGGGGGACCCGGCACCTCTGCCCGCAGCAGCTGGGGGGGCACTCGCTTTACACCCGAATTTGGGGGTTCCAAAGAGCTGTCACGGAAAGAAAGAAGCTGCGCGGGACAGAAGCGTTTCCAGGATGTTTCCCGCTCCCCTCTCATTCCAACGCGGGCCACTCGCCCGRAACGGCGGCGGCGGCGCCCGGGACGCGCCGGGGCGCAGGGAGCCGCGGAGCCCGCGCCCATCGCCG